AGGACCAACAATGTGCTTTTGGCACATCTCTATGCCTCACGTTAACAAGCGGCATTGGAACCACAAAATTTGTTCCCTTCCGTCAACAACGAATCAGTTGTACGACCAGGCGACACGACGACGTGGTTGCCACTATTGTGACATTACGCACTACGCAAGATGTGCACTTGGATTATGTTCTGCAGTCTCCAACAGTCATAACAAGCACAGTCGGTGGAAATAAAGCTGCAGAAAATGGAAACAAATACAGGTAAGCACAAAAAAAGAAATATTCAGCTCCTTGCAAAATTAACGCATTACTTACTATAGTATCTTCATGTTTTTCAGTTCATATAACCGCAAGCACAATCTGCGATGAGTTTCTTCTGGGCGGGTGTGTAATCCCAAAAGAGGGAATTCTGTTAAAACTAAACCGAAAAAAGCAAAGTCTTGTGAATTAAACGTGCAAGCATGAAAGCTAGAAATGCTTTCTACAAAGCCTATTGTACTTGTCAATCAGGATTTGCATTCTGCTTTAATATACCGAAAAGGTACACAAATTCAGACGTTTTATAAAAAACTCATATGCGACACATTTAAACTCTTCCATTTTTAAATTAAAAGGTGTTATTAATAATTTGATCTACAGAAGTCTTGTATGGCCTAAATTTTGACCAAGCGATTAAGACGTATTGTATACGAAAAACATACGTTAGAATAACACGAAAATGCCAAAACCCAAAATATCAGGTCTTTTATAAGTAGTATAAAAATTGTCTTAAGTTCAAGTTTCTTTAATCTGATTAGTTTTACAAGAGATTAAGGAATGTGCATAGATAATAAAAAATCGACGAGTTAGTTGAACGAAAACATAGCGTTAAATCAAAATCTTAAAACAAAAAAACGTTTAAAATTTATAAAGTAAAGATTGTGCTATCACATGCATTAGAATATATATTCACTTAAAATCTACATTGACAGGCCCTACAACGCATTACGTATCTTAAAAATGAGGGTCATCAGTGTCCTACACGCTCGAAAAGGTAAAACAAAGTACGTATAACACCTTGATGGTGACTAAAAATTAGTAAGCAACGAAGTACATAAATAATTAGGTGACGTAAGTATAAAACAATTTCTTTGCATGTCATTTACAATAAGTAACAAGAATAGAATTTTAAAACGCATTTATTCTTCTTTGCAATTTGCCATTTCTTCTGGCAATTCAGTTTATCTAAGTCACGAATTATAATGACACTACTATAAATTACAATGAATTGTATTTCTCAACTTTATCATTGGTCATATTGTAAAGTCTTAATGTCACTTATTGAGGATTCTAATCCATCTGTCTACCAAGCAATCTAAATAATTTTCGACAAATATAATGGAAATTACTAAAGCCTTGTTTCTACACATTTGCACATTGATGCACTACTAGCTATATAATTTTTTGATGCGCTTTCTTTTTTTAGGATATTGCTTTTAAAACCTGACGACAATTGTTTTCTCTCGGAAATAATTGTTAGGCCATTGTGTTTCAAAATGCACAACAATACTGTCTTTACCTCTTCTGATCTGCGTGGTAGATTTTTGTGCCCCTATCATGCATCTGATTTGGCACAATTAATAAAACAACGCCATTCACATTTTTGCCAGCATTTTTATAGCTCCTAAATAAAACCAAATTGCCACCAAAATTGAAGCTCGGTGCTTGATTCGCCCCGGCTGCCTGGCAAATTCAACTAACAACTCTGTTATTTTATATCGCTACTTTACCCGAATTATTGACAAATAACTAAATAAAGAATGCACAATGGCAGGACAATAGACACGGAAACAACTACATCGTGCTGCCTGTAAATGGTTGCCTCTGCTACCTCTAGTCTTCTATTTAAATTCTAGGGTAACTGCCTAGCGTAAACGGGCAGAAATCAACAAGGCTGTACTGGCGTGTTTTTAAATCCATGTGCTGGGTCCCCCTACATCACCATAACAAAGAATAGTGAAAATGGTAATTCAAGAATTATTTGCCTATGGGCACGAAAATATGTTTAGTAGTGACAGGCACATAAGAGAATGCGCAGCCGAGTAGGACCTACGCATTGGGCTCTAAATGATGCATTATAAAATGCTTGAGTAGTTGCATTGGCTCAAAAAATTATCTTTAAAACCAAAGTCAAAAAGAATGGTCAAATAAACTGATGCAAGTCAAACAACAACACTGATTAATGCGATAAAAATATTAGCTCTAAATACCTGCATTATTTTGCTACAATACTTGCCCGATTAAACAATATTTTTAAATGCAATATTTTCATTGATTACCTTTAATTTGTAAACTTGATTCACTGTGTGATCGTGTATAACATTTTGTTGTTGTTTACTTAGTTCAACAAATACTCATAGCAAAAGTTGTTTTAATGTACCGAAAGTAGATGCGTCATTTCGCAGCGGCGATAATTGTACGGACTGGTGTGTGCTGCAGCGACTGTAACTGCATCCGCCAACGAGACTTGGTCTGTGTCCCTTTGTACTCTACGCCACCCCGCCTGCAATGCCTGACATTCAATAATTTGTCGTAATGCTT